ATATATAATTACTATGAGTAAAAATGCAAAATTTTTTAAAGAAATAATTTACATAAATTTAGAAAATGCATTATATTATCTACAAACGATTGAACAATTGATAATAGAAATAATTGCTAAAATACAAGAACTTCTTGCTTACGATTATGTCCTGGAATATCGCTTCTCCAAAGAACGCGCACAATCTGCCAATAGGTCATGCTCATAAAGAGCAACGGCACGGTATACAGAAATATCAGTTTGACAATCGTGAAGGTAGCTTGACTTTCTTGACTCCATGACCAGACACATTGCGTGAATAATATAGTCTGCACTCTACTATTTGAAGGTATAATGTGCAACACCAGTAATTCTGGAATATCTGATTGAAAAACATATGACATTGATAAATTTGTATTTTCTTTCCATAAAAAAAAAAAAAATAAATCTTTAAGAAACGCTGTTAGACAAAACGCTTTACAAACAAAATAAATAACAAGCTCATTTTTCACCAAATTTGAGACATTCTGCGTATAGGCAGACTATGATTATTACTTAATTAAAGTAACGTTACATATTACTATTTAATTAAAGTAACATTGATACACCCTGTCAAAAGTGTCAAAATACGATCCAGCATCCTGTTCAATATATTCATCAACAAGTAATTAAAATAATTTCTTGCTTCCAATTAAAATATTTGTATAAATAATTACCAAAAAGCAGCGCTATCAGCCAGATTACTATGATAGAGGTTTTCGCTCGGCTTGTCGTGGATTTGAATCTTAATGGGAAGCATATGGCATACCATCGGTCGATCGATATGAAAGTCAGCGTCAAAACGCTAACACTCACCGATACTGTCTGAAACAATAAATACCGAATAATTAAATTAATTATTGTTATATACCAATTCTGTAATTTATTACATCGACTACATTTTTATTCAAACAAAAAATCATATCTAAAACAAAATACCAATTACAATGGGGATATTATTGGAGCAACTGAGATAAAAAAAGAAACGAGTAACAATGTTATTTTATATATATATATACTGTTACAATTAATCAAAAATCAATATTTAATCGCCTTTTCAATTCTTTATCAAAATGTTTCCGACATCGTCATCTTGCTCTTTCCAAATTTGTCGCGAATCTTCCTACGCGATGCATTTAATATCTCTGAGATAATTTATCCATTTTTGTTTATATATGTATATAAGAGAATTTAAATGATGTTAAGAGGATGCCGGACCGTCCTGTTTTACCGGCCATAATAATTATATATTTGCTTAATATAAGGGTTTTGCGGTGTGTACGTGCAAAATAGGATACCTCTCCACTCGGAAATGCATGAAGGAATAATTTATTTTCCATTTGAATCTAATTAGACGTACATCAGAGAGAATATGAATAGAATGAGTAGAGATATAAGAAAGTAAGACTGAAAGGATTAATGAGATTCACAAGTTTACAAATTGCGATACATCTCTAACCTTCTTAGTTCGTCTTTCTGGTTAGCAACGAGAAACTTTCTCTCTCTCTCTCTTTCTCCTTCTCTCTCTCTCTATCTTTCTCTCTGTCTGAAACTGTCAATTGGTTTATCAAAGAGATCGTTTCTAGCTGTGTTACTACTTTGTCTACGTTTGTGATTGTCAAACACAACTGAATCGATTAATCGAAGCTTTGAAAATTGCAAATTGCATAATATTATATATTCTTTATCTTATATAATTAAAATCGGAATACTTTTTCACAATAGAAACATAATAAAAGGATTAATCTTTATGTGCGAAAAAATCACAATTCACAAAATAATTAATATCCGGGAATATTAATATATACGGAAAATGATTGAAGAAATTAATGTAGAAATTTCGCAGAAATAATTTTTTTCATGTCAGTTGTTATCTTAAATTAAAGATGCAACGATAACACAGAGACAGATAAGCGAATTCGAAATTACTAAAACGAAAATACAAATCCATACATATGAGTTCGTCTCTATTGAATTCGAAGTTAATACATATAAGTTTCTTTCTTTGTCGAGAATCGTGCATCATTGAAATTTGACTTCGATTATTGAGATTCCGTCTGGCGTTGTGCGATTTCTCTTTGATGCAGTTTCTTCAAAATCTTCTCGTTCAAAAAAAAAGTTTTAAAATAGTACAAAACATAGATAAATATAAATATGAAAAATTCATGTTTAAATAATTGAAGAAGAGAGAGAAAGAGAGAGAGAGAGAGAGAGAGAGAGCGCGTATGTCTTAGATGTAATTAATGTAATATAAAATAATTCGGTATTTTCTTGATTGATAATCGCGAGCAAGTATTTACGAATGCAAAAAACAAGCGCGCGGTAGAACAACTATAATATTTTCATCCGACTAGAGAGAGAGAGAGAGAGTACGTGCATTATAGCAAGATGAGCTAATCCGTTTTTTTAATTCCGTATCTGACACGAAACAATTTCTCCAACCTTCGCATTACAACATGTGTATACGACAATGCAGCACGTTTTAATTAAATCGCGGTTATCACTCGCTGCTTGCACGTGCGGATGTTGTATCCGTCACGCTAGCGCACGTAATTCTTTCGATAGCGAAAATAGCATACGTGGCATATGATACATGTGACATTTTCCGCGACGACGTCACAATTTTTCGATCTGGATTAATCTTTCATCCCTATCAGAGTCGTCGACGAATTTTTCTCGACATTTTCTTTAAAATTAAAAATTTCTGGAGCTTTAAATTAGTTAATTAAGATTAATTATATAAACGACAATCGATACAATTCGAATTCTTTGTTTAAATAAATTTTGAAAAAAATATTTAATAAATACATGATAATATTGTCGATCATATATACACACAAAGCACACTTTATAAAATAAATTATCAGGTTGTTAAGATATATTTCTTCGAATAAATATGCAATTTATTTTTCTTCATTAAAATGTCAAAAGTTTTTGAGTTATAAGCAATACATACATAATACCACTGCCTTAAACACGCAATTGTGAAATTTTAATGAACAATTTCTTATCTTCTTAGTAATATTCCGTGTAAATCAAAAACATTATTTTCACGTAGGTGTGAAATATAGCTTTCGCTTTAGTCGAGATTGTTCTAACGTACTTGAAATGTGCTCGGCGGCTTGCATGTGTCACATGCCACATATCAACGAATTGCGACGTAATTTTTTCATTGCCAAATGAACCGGCGCGCTTCAGAGGACGTCGAAATATCTTCCTGAAAAATTCATCGCGTTTGATCGCATCGCGGGATAGAGATATTGCATGTAAAATATCACTTCGGACGCATCGAAGTTCGCGTTCTTGATATAGCATGTCACAGTATATAGCGAATTTATGCGTTTACCGCGCCATATCTTTTTTACTCTTTTTCTCTTTGTTTTTCTTTTTTTATGAGAAATCGCGCTCTTATAGCGATTTGTGAACGTTTACCGTCATTGTGCGGCACGAACTTCGACTTATTGTTAGGTACAATTTAAATGTCGCGAAAGAAAAATGACGCCGCATACGAATCGAAGTGGCGGCGTAATTATATGCTCGGCAAATGAGAACGCGTCGATCATACTTGACTGATAACTATCGATCCATATACAGGATACGTTAACACACTATTGGATGTTCTTTTAAGCTACGAAAACGAATTTGAGATTAACACGGAACACAAACCGCGCTTATACGAAGTATTTTAGCAAGAAATACAGAGTCTAATCGAATTAAAAGAACATTCGGTGTGTAGTGCTGCAAAATAAAAAAATGCCTATATTAAATAATTTCTAAAAGAATTTCTTATTTGCTTGTTATCTCAGTCCCCTATCGGTTTTTATTTATATTTTTTTTGTCTATACATATCATACTTTGTTTTAGATATAATTATTATTCTGTAAATATAATTTGTAATTTTATTAGGGAATTTTTAAACATATATTGAAATGTCTTGGAATACATGTGTGTGATAATATCGCGCGCGTGCGAGAGGAATATTTTAAATAATAATTTAATGAGTAATAAAATGTACGTCGAACGCAACAACTTGTCTTCTCTATCGACTCGTTTTTGCCAAACTAATTATCGCAACGCGGAAGTGCGGTATTAGTTTAAAGTGAGTTCAACTTGCGAGATTGGATTAATATATCCGTTCTAAGCGGGTACGAACAGACTCTGCACGCGGCAATTTCCGCTGTTCCCTTTTCGAGTTCCATTTAGACGATGTGATGTCATGATTTAATGCAAGTAACATTTGCATAATTAATAATTAAATTATTTAATATTTTTAGATATGTATATACTTTTTTTTTTTAATTTGCGATGTTCTTTTTACATTAAAAATACACGCTTTTTCAATTGTAATATTATAGAGAAAAAAGAAATGATCCATAATGAGGAAAATAATGAGAACAAGGACTTTTTAACTTTTTCATAGTGATTCTAAATATCCTTGCATGTTTCTCTCTGACATTTCTTTTGACATTTCTTTATAGCATGTGGGAAGAAGTATGCATCAACTCTAATGATCATTGACCTTAATTAGTATACATTAGCAGTACTAAATTTACAGCAGTATCTTCTGTTTTGTACTATTCGCCATTTGCAGATAATTAAACTCAGTTTAGGATCTTCGTCCATTCGTTATAGATATCCAATGCACAGAACTGTTGGCTCTTTGACAACAATTACATGTCCTTAGGTAGATCCTTTGATGTGGCGAAATTCATAGATCTTGAGTGCCACAATATTGTCCTTGCAACGCTTGCAAGAAGCATATTCTCTACATGCTTTTCAGAGATATCTAACTCTCTCAGAGGACTTAACTCTAAATGTGTTCGTACAATATATACATCATTGAAATATATTAAATCAACATCATTTTAAATAAAAAGTAGAAAATTTTCTTAACGAAATCTGAATTTTAAATTTTTAATTTATCTCAATTTCTTAATATCTTTAATTATCTATCTTAATTATCTTTTATTAAATATCTTTAATTTAAATATCTTATTACGATTAATTACGATTTGGGTTAAAAAATTTGATAAAATAAATTTTGTTTGCAATTAGATAAATGAGATACAGTTTTTTTATCGATGTACATCATTAAGCTTAAATCTTGAAAAGATATTTTCATTTTTGATCGTTAGTAATACAATAGCTATCAATATTTTAACATATTTTTTCACATAATCATATATTTTTGCCTTAGATTTAATAAAGAATTCACTTTTAATGTTTCGAACGCGTTCTTACAATTAACATTTTACAGTTGCGTGTCACACAACGTAACATATTATACACATACACTCTAAAAAGATGTTACAGAATTACATGAGCAATAAATATAAAAAACAGAAATATATAATATTTATATTATTTATAATGTAATTTTATCCTTATTGTTCATGTGATTTTACATATTTTTTTATAATGTATGTTGCATTTGTTGGTGAATAAGCTTTATCTTTATTTCGATTTGGACGATTAATCAAACTATTTATACAGAAGAAATCGCTGCAGTTTTGTATGCTTTTTATCTGCGTCATCATATTGCGTATCAATGCAATGATATATAATATCTCGAGAAATCTTTTTTACTTATTATTTTTTTACTCGGATAAATCTGCAGTTTCGTTCAATTTCTATTACTCTACTTTTTTCCTTCTATTATTGATTAATGGCGTACATCGTTTTCTACTCTATGCGATATGTACAAGATATTCTTGAAAGAATTCTGCCATAATTCATAGCCTTTTGATTTTTCGTGAAATATTATGTATTATTAAAAATGTATATATATATTCTATTTAAAATAAATAATTATTTGTCAATAAACA